AGATATATGTATATAAACTAGATATATGTATATAAACTGAAACAGCTGGACTAGTGCATCTTAAATTTAACATAAATTAATTATTTTAATACAACAGTCATTTTTGCATTGTTTTGTGGAGGTCACCTTCTAATAATTGTCATTACAGAAAATCCAACTGCTCATTTTAAATCAATACTTTTACTTTTAATACTTAAGTACAAAAATATCAGATACTTTAAGACTTTTACTCAATTAATATTCCTAAAGGAGACTTTAACTTTTACCAAAGAAATTTTTTGGTAAGATACTTGTACTTTTACTCAAGTATCACTTTGTGGTACTTTATACAACTCTGTACCTTTCACATAAAATGAAAATGATGTGATTTACATGAATTTTATCAAAGTTAAAGCGTAAACATGTCATATAGAGAGCAAATATGATGTGTGACGACTCGGTGTGTAAAAAAAATCAYCTGAGACTCGTGCTACCTGACAGCTGCAGGGTCTCAGTAAAATCACTTACACAGAGATAGAGATAAACTTTATAGCCTTTAAGCTCATGTTTAGTTAATAATCTTAGTTTATTGTTTGCATTTTCAGTTCAGAGACTCGTTTGTTTCGCTTTAACGTGGCATTATGAGCCTTTATGCTCACTTTAGCTTAATCTGTTTTAATACTTTTAAGGTCTTCAATTCAATTCAATTCAATTCAAAAATACTTTATTGATCCCAGAGGGAAATTAGGTCACGTGATAACCTTTTAAACAACTTATACCAATTTATGGAAGTCTCTTTTAGACGTGTACATATTGTAATGCTAACAAACTGATCAAATATAAAACATTTTTATTATATAAGACGTAAAAAAATTCACAAGTTGTCTAAAACATAACAGTGTGACAGCTAGCCTTTAATTCCTTTTAGCTTGTAGTTACCATTTTTCTGATTTTAGCTTTTGTTTTGCTACCTTTAGCTAACTGTTCTTTCTTTTAGCTGTCTCATTGCTACCTTTAGTTTTGAGTTTAGTTTTATTTTTCCTTTTTTTTTTTCCTTTTTTACTCTTTTTAGTAACAACTTTGCTCATTTTAGCTTGTGTTTTGCACTTTTTGTGGTTCTGCCTTTTTTAGCAGCTCAGGTTCCCACATTCAGCTCTCAGCATTCACATTTTTGTATCATAGCAAACTTTTTTATATTTCCACACTGCTTATGATTCTGTCAGCAGCAGACTGGGAGGAGCACCAGGTCCTTCTCAACAAAACTTTTTGCACAATCTCAAAAAATAAAATGATTTTTTTCATTCAATAGTTGCAAGATTAGGGATATTTTAGCACTAATAGTGTCTAAAACCGAGTTAAACCTGTTGTTCACATATAAATAACTGAAATCTACAGCCTTGTTGGTTTATTTTTTGCAGCTTCAGTTGTAATGTATTTTACAGCTTACTTCTGTGCTGCTTGTGAATATTTAAGTGGTAATATAAGCTTTTGTATGTGCGTACAGATGTGGGTGTGTGTGGTTTTTTACTCAGTCATATTATCCACAGCAGCACAATGAGCTGGTTTCAAATAACAGCTCTGGAAAGTCCCTGGATAATTGCTCTGGACTTTGTCTCCAGTTCTGTCTTCCTTCTTTGCTCTTGGTCACAAATCTGATTTATCCTTTTTTTTAAACTTAAACACACAGAAGTAACTCCCTCTCTGCTGCACAGTTTGTAATGTATGCATTTAGATGATCTGACCTTCATTTGCTTTCCATCAGAGGAGGAATATTGCAGTCCGTTTTAACTTTTTCAAAGTCACATTTCTTGCGAGCGTTAATGATACCGCRCAAACAGTTTCAGGCTTCAAGTCCAGGGGAATTCACAGCAGCCTATTTCCATATCGCTGCTATCTAAAAGCGAAAGCACCAACTATGTTCTGTAGCTGGAGGCCTATTCTGAGCCGCAGCGTTAGAAACTTTCCTGTTATGGCTCGAAGCTGCAGCTCACGGCTGAAGACGCCGACAAGAACTTCACTCCCAAGTGGGTTTGAAGTGTTTTCCCGCACTCTTTGCAAATTAAACTTTCCTTATTTCCTGCAGAGGAGTTTAAGCAAATCACACGGCCATTTTAATGTGTCAGAAGGTAGCACGAGTTATGAATTGTGCCTTTAAATTTAATCAGATTGTAAATGAAAATCTTAGCTTTCCTTGAACAAATGCATATCAGAGTTTTATGCTAATATTTAGGAATAAGAGTTGTAGCTATTTTGGTCACGATCTCGGCTACTACCATGCTAAAGTTTAGCTCAGTGACTGTAAAACTTAACTAAATGTAGCCACTTTTTTCTGTAGGCTAATGCAAATTAGCCACGGTGGCCATCTTGAATTGGATTGGCTCCAAAGACCAAACCATTAGATGTATATAAAAAGATTATTTTATTAAAAATCTTTTCAGTCACGGCTTGAATTTGTTTATTCATTTAATTTTTTATGTGCAGGCTTGTGTACCGTCGTTTCATACAACTCCAAAATCCTTTTGTTAGCATCTATTTATATCATGTTGTAATAAATAAACAGGTACATTTTGACACATTGCCAGTTTCTTTATTTAACAGGCCTATTTTTATCCCTTTCGTTTTATCTACTCTTTTCTACCTTCTCTTCTTTTGTTATCTGAAATTTTTTTTGCATTATATGTCAACGCTGTCTGTGTTTATGTTCAGGAGTTGAAGAGCTTCAAGACGTTTGTGGAGACAAAGCCGCCGTTTGATGTGGTTGTCGATGGTTTGAACGTGTCAAAATACAAAAAGGACCTGAGGCCGTCAGAGACGGTGAGAGTAATGCACACAGGTGCCGCTTCTGCGCTCGCTTTGACAGATTTTAGTGGTTTCTTCCTGCCATCGCTAGGGGTTTTCTGCCAGTTTCACTATGAACAACTCCCACAGAGTGCGTATCCGTCTAAATGTTAGATGTTTGTAAGAGATGCTTTTAAAAACAGGCCAGCGTCTGATTTTAGCATCACCTAACCTACTTGTCTGTCTGCCCACACCTGTCTGTCTCCATGTCTTTCTCACACATAGTTCAGCTGCGAGGCAGGAAAGTACAGCCCAGATAAGACCGTTTCCCTGTCGCGTCATGAAAAAATAAATAAATAAAATAAAATAAAATCATGAAAATTAAGGGTGCAGAAATTTTCGTCGACTTCAACCCCAGGACTTTTTATTCAAGTGCRTGCATGAATGAAATCACATATGAGCTGCTGAATTCTGCACAAGTTTCAGCACGCTGAGTAAACAGAGGAGCTCTGAGCTYGTCTGCAGAAGGTCAGATGACAATGACACAAACTTAGCAAATTTAGTGTTTATTTTTTGTTCTAAGAAAGTACTATCTGCAGGTTTTAGGTGTTTCTCTGCTTTGACACACCTGATTTGAATGAATGAGGGATTAACAGGCTTCTGCAGATCTTGAAGAGCAGAGAAACATTTGAAACGCGCAGCACATGGTGCAACAATCTGCACCAGCTTTCCCACTAATCTCTTCATACAGTTGATGCATTAAACAGGGAAGAATGGATTTTAAACACTCACCAATTAAAGAAAAATCACACTAAGTGGGGAAAAAGGATTTTTTTAAGATCAAGATTCATTTTTTAAACATGTCTAAAAAAGTTCAGAATGATGAACTTCAGCAGCAAAAAGAAAATAGAACAGGTCGGGTTATAAAAACCGAAGATGTGCTTTTTCCAGACGCATGTTCAAATTAAAGCGGCTCACGTACATGTTTGTGTGTTTCAGTTGTTGGCGGTGGTGTCGGAGCTCAAGAGWCAGGGCAAGAATGTTCTGGTTCTGGGGAGGAAGCACATGCTCAAGCCCTCCAGTCAGTGGAACAAAAACGACATGAGTCTCATAAAGCAGAAAGCTCATTGCTTCTTTACTGATAACATGTGAGATTTGTTTTAATAACTCATGAAGGTGGCATTCTATTCTGTTCTACCACTTTTTATTTGACAAGGTTTGAGCACTCTTTATTTTGTTGAAACTAATCCCACGCCTGCCTGTCTTATCAGCTCCGAGGACGACCCTTTCTTGCTTTATGCCACTTTGAATTCTGGGAACCACAGTCAGTTTGTGAGCAGGGACCTGATGAGGGACCACAAGGCCTGCCTGCCCGATCAACTCGCCAGGCGCCTCTTCTTTAAGTGGCAGAGGGGCCATCAGCTTTTGGCATGTGGGAAAACCCAAGAAGACAGGGTCAGATTTCAGGTGAGGAGGAAGTAAACGGTTACGTGGCTTTCTGTGTGCACATCCACACCAACTAAATACATAAATGTGTTTTTACAGTATATTCCCAACTATGACACCATCATCCAGACTACAGGAAACACGTGGCACATTCCCTACGACGACACAGAGGAGAGAACAATGCATGAAGTGCCACAACGGTGGTTGTGTCTCACACAAAAAAAAGATTTTGTAAATTAAAACATTTAAATAAAATAAACATCAATGTACACATTTGAATAAAAATGTTTGAAACTCAATTGGTGCCTGTATTTATATTAAAAAATCGTAAAATAAAAGCTGTAAAAAAAGAAAGAAAAAGTTAAAGTTGACCCGGAAGCAGTGTTGCCAGGTGTACGATAATTATCGTATTTGTACGATAATTTGGCCCTCTGTACGATGTACGATCAATAATGCCAAAAATCCCATAATGTACGATAATTTGACCGCTCCAATGTGTGACGTAATCGACCCGACACGCTGCTCGCTGACATGAGAGGTGGCGGGTTGTGGAACACAGCGGTGCTGATTTAGCGACTTCCTCGCTATATTTACAGAGTTTTCAGACCCTCTAGAGACTGTTATTCAGAAAATAAACTAGTGAAAATCTAGCGACTCTTTTTCTGGTGTTATTGAAACTTATAGAGACTCTGAACACATTTCTCCATTGCGCTGCTGAGAGCTCCTCCTCCCCGGTCCCAGAGCACCGACAGGAGGCT